AACATAACTTTTATATATAAATGTGTATCTACCTTTAAATATTTGTCGGTAAACATTAGAATTTCAAATAAGTTCATACAGGAATATTATGCCCTTAGTCGTGGGCTGTCTTATAAAGTGTCACCCAAAGTTGTTATATGTGAGACATTTCCTGACATTGCTATTTATCTATGCGCTTATCATGAGAGACAGATGTCTCTATTCCACAGCTATGTTCCATTCAGGAAGGACACATACTGGAGTGATGTTTGGCCTTGGCACCGACAGAACAGAGGAAGGTCATAGCTTGAACCATGACTCCGGCTACTACTACAGGTCATCCTCATTCAGATCTGTTGTAATCCCAAATATCCTGTCCTCATCATCAGTCAAACTGTGTTGGACATGCAGTTTGGGGGACCAATGGCGATGGCCCGAGTCATGTAGGGGTCAGATCATACTATGTGGCAACACGGATGCTGTTGGAAGGTCATGTTCCACCGTCCTGATCGCAACTGGAGTCCAGTTTGGACTTTCCAGTTTGCCTGTTTGTGTTAGCTGAAGGTGACGTCATGGTAACCAGGTGTTTCCCCTCTGCCGGGATGCCTGATATTCCCTGTCATGTTCAAACTTCCTGACAGTCTGGCTAAATGGGATCCTGTATGCATATGTTTATCTAGTTATATATTTGTATACTGTGCACAGATAGCTTTTATTTGATTGTCACATGCATTGCGTTTCAAGGAAATTGTTACAAGCTGTATGTACTAGGAGTTACTAACCTGTGACTCCAAGAAACATCTTACTATGAAATGTTTGTCTCTTCTTCTTTTCTTGTAAAATCCAGGAAACTTCAAAAATCTGAAAACTCCTTTACACAGCACTGAGGCTATAAGTAGACATATTTGAATTGTAAAAAGTACTGGCAAGGGGATGGCACACACACGCACACACACACAAAATTGTCAGACTGTTGCTTTTATTCAATTCTTGCTTTTACAACTGGAAAAGCAAAAATTGGCAATTCATTAAAAAATATCTCAAAATCTCCATGTCAAAAAGACTGGAAGTCACTTATTTAGAGTCACATCTGCTTATATGTTTATGTACCCGTCTCTTGTTTTTCTCAGGACGCTGAGTCTTTGGACAACTGTATCCAGAGCACTTTGTCTGCCCTGTACCGTCCCTTCAGTGCCACTGCTGTCACCGTCCTCTGGCAGCTGTTCAGCGTGGTGGAGAGGCAATATCGTGGAGACGGACTCCGCTGCCTCATCGACTTCTTGCTTCCTGCCAAGAGGATCCTACAGATCATACAGAAAGAAACCTGTGTGAGTGCTTGATAGCAATGGTATCTGAGGTTAAATTGAGGAAACCAAGAATGTCTGTATTTTTTTATATGTCTGGTTTTTTTTTTATTCCAATCTGTGTTTGGAAGTGAAGATGGATAGAAATATAGAGAGAGGACATGGGGATTTAAGAAAAGAAACCAAAACTATCTCACTGTCTGGAAAGAGATAAACAACTAGAAGTTAAACTGTGAACAGTTCTGCTGAGTGTGAATATTTTTCCTGAGTGGGAAAAGTGAGACTGAAACAGAGTTGATTATTGTTCCGGAAACAGGCAACAAGTTGAAAAGCAGCCATCATTCTCTGAATAGCGAAACACAGGGAAACTGTGGAGTGCTTGAGAGGGAACCATGGACTCTAGGGTCCAGCATGAAATTCAATATTCTCTCTCAAAAGCTTTGATTGCTGTGGGTTAGGGCCCTATCACCAAAGCACTGAAACTTTATTCCTCTGCATTCATCTCTCTGGTGATTACACTGTGACGATAGCCACAGAGCAATAGTTTCATCTAAGCCTAGCCCCTGAGAACTGCTTGCTGTGCATGAGAGTCTTTGTAATGTAGGCAATATGAGAGGCTTCGGAGGAAGATCACATCCTTAGCCTTTGCCATGACATTCATAAGAGATGAAAAAAGCCAACCCTTGAGCACCGTGTTTTTGCTCTTAGGGTTTCATGCTGTCACAACACGGATTTGTGTTGTGGTTGCTGTGAAAACGGGCCTGATCAGACAGGTTTTCGTCTTTAGCTGACAGTGATTCACTCAGTGCGCCTCATGAAAACACCTTGCCTCTTGCCTTTACAGCTAAACATGTGTTTAAATACTGCTTTGCAGATGTCAGTTGAAATGATCCAAGTCGTACCACAGCTGAGGCATGACTCACATATATGATAACAATGTTTTACGGGAGTACTGACTGACTTCTCTTTCTCTTCACAGGTAAAGTTCAGAGGCTTGCTCTTTTATCATGAGGGATGGCCTCTTTGCATCCATGAGAAAGTTGTCCTGCAGCTTGCACCTCTGCATAAAGTCAGATTAAAGCAAGGAGATTTCTACCTACAAATTGTTCCTTTAGGACGCAAGGCTGCCAAGCTAGTGATAAAATGTTTGTCGATCAGTGGGCAGGCCATTGCAGAAATCCCTATTTCAGAGAGCATGTACGGCAGCATCTTCACAGCTGAGTTCTTACAGAATGTAACACGTGACCGAAACCTGCATCCGCTACAGAACTGTCTGCTTACCACTGGTACGGCTGTGTTCAGGACACCGTGGAAGAACGTGGCCAACCCGCTCTTTGTCAGCAACACAGCAGACGCTATAATGCAAGCGCACTGCAGCCGAGGTGGTTTCCGTGCCCATCTCAGCACTTGCAGCACCAGCGGATCTACGGGGACTCTGGACAGCCATCGCAGCTCCAGAGAGTCCCTGCATTCTCAGGGAGCTGATTCCATTTTCTCTGAGCCCAACTCCCCGAACAGAAACCGCATGGACTCTAGCAGTGAGAGTCATAGCACCAGCACAGCTGACAATGCTATACCCAAGATTAAAATAAAAAGTCTCACTGAGGAGTGTGGTACAGGAAAGGGCGGTGAGGACAGCAGTGCAAGAGAGGGAGGACTGGGGTCCAAGATGCTCTCTTTCAGCACAGACCTCAGTAACCCAGGCCCTCGGCGCCGTCTCCACAGAGACTCTGCAACTTTTGAGACCAGGAGACTTTTCAGAAAATCTTACATGGAAGCACTACAGAATCCCATGACCCTTGGGTCGAGCTCTGAATCCATCTTGGAGGAGAGCTCAGAGCATAGTGCTACCCTAAGAGAGAGAACTGTGACACCGGGTAACAGTCCCGACACGCAGACCTCCTCCAGAGAACATTCATCGCGGAGGTTAGGTAGCCGGGGATGGCTCAGCAGTGATGACTCCAGACCCAGCACACCTTTACTTTACTTACAGAGAGGTTTGCGGAGTGCTGAGAGACGAGCAGAAAGGCGCTCCAAGTCACTGGAGAGGACTAACAAAGCAGGCCAGGTTAAAGGCCACCGGGAACGATCTTCTTCTGGAGGATCAGCCGGAATTTCACCCAAAAAACTAAACTATGCTTTTCGTTTTGGAAAGCTAGATGTGGAGGCCATAATTCCTGGAATTGAGAGGAGAAACAGCAAGGATGAGTCGGGTAAGTCCTGATGTTAAACCTCAGTGCACAAAAATTACACTTAAAGTCATAAACGTTGGTCATGTTTTGGACCAATACATAAAGAACATTTGCTTATAAATGTTTTTTTTATGCTTTTCAAGTAAATTTCAAGTGCAGTATTTGAAATGTAGTCATTATATATAATCATTATTATGATCAGTAATGTCATGAACACAACAAACCTAGCAATTAATTGATCCTAGCCAAATGTAAAGACACAGGAGCCAGTTGGTGGCTCACGTCCTGAAAATCCTATCATGGCAAAATTGCTGCAATTCATTTAGCGGGTACTTAAGAAATTTCTCAAGAAACAGGAATGAACGAACCAAATGGCTAAAATACCTATTTACACCTGATAAACAATACATAAATATGCTGGTGCTAACTAACCTCCGACGGATATCAGGAGCATTAATTAAACTCAATTTATACTGTAAGGTGATCATACAGTATCCTTGAGAAAACCCAACAAACAAGCTACTTCCACCCCCCCCTATCAGCACAGGACTTTGTAACAGTAGGAAGAAAAAACTCCTTTTTAGCAAAAAATAAAAAACTTCCAGCAGAACTAAGCTCGGGGAGGGGCAGCTATCTGCTGCAACCAGTTGGGAGATGAGAGGAAAGAGAAAAGAAAAAGAAGAACATAAGGAGACAGGACAAAACATACTAAGAAAAGCACCTCACACAGAGTGCTTCAACAGTTTGAGTCTATAGTAGAATAACAAAGAGATGGTTCAGGGTCACCTGATCCAGCCCTAACTATAAGCTTTATCAAAAACGAAAGTATTGATAACGTAGAGAGGGGGTGTCTGTCTCACAAATTTAAACTCGGCACTGAAGGGTCTGCCTCCAATTCTACTTTTAGAAACTCTTAAGAAATACAAGTAAGCCTGCAGTCTGAGAGTGAAGTAAGAGTGCAGTCTTTAAGATATGGCGCTGCCTGATCATTCAAGACCTCATATATCAGGAGAAGGATTTTAAATACAGGGAGTTGATGAAAATAGGCTAATATTGGAGAAATATGCTCTCCTTCTCATCTTTTTAGTACTCTTACTGCAATGTTCCAGATAAACTGAATACTTTTAGGGAACTTTTAGAACTACCTGATGAGAATGAATTATAATTATCAGCCTAGAAGTAATGAATGAGACAGAATGTTTCTAATTTTGCAAATGTTGTGCAGGCAGTCCTACATATTTGTTTTAAAATAGTAAATAAGGTGTTAATAGAGGCCAAAGTTATGCCATCCAGAGTAAGCTGGGCACCGTGCTTCTAAGATTTTTAGGACCAAATGTAACAAGAAAGAAAATTGCATACAGGCTGGTATGTCTTTATGACATGCCAGTAGTTTAACTAATTGATTTGTATCATCTAGTTTCATCTGGGTAGCAAGTATATGCACTGTTTTCTAATAATGTTGCCTAAGGGAAGCACGTGTAATGTAAAAAGTAGTGGTCCCAGCACAGAACTCTGTGGAACTCCATAACTACATTTCACACATGAAAAACCCTTGCATTACCTGTACAGAGAGGAGTCTATCTAATATGGAGTCTATGATTCCTTTAATATTAGCGTCTTCTAATCTCCGTAGGAAAACCTTGTGATCAGCAGTATCAAATGCTGTTCTAAGTTCTAACAAGACAAGAAGACAGACGTGTCAACCATCAGAGTCTATAAGAAGGTCATTTGTAACATCATTAGCATTATCTGGATTATTTTGTAAACAATCTGTATGACACAAGAAGTCCAGAGAGTGGCACTTTTTGCCTATTTATTACTACACTAAGGATGTATTGTAGTTGCATATTTTCCTTCATTACTGTGAACACTGACACTTTAAATTGTGTTAACCCCAGGCTTGTGGTGGTGCTGTAGTACATATTCACTAATAAAATCGTAAAAGTAATTTATTTGTACTTTTTAAAAGACACAATTAAAAAGTGTTTCACAGTCAGGATAAAATCCACACCAAGTGTAGCCTAAAAATCCTGACATACATGCAAGCATAAGTTCATACATGTATGTACCTACCTGAATGGGCAAGGCCTTGCCATGCAGGTAACTACGTGCATGGTAATTATGTGCATGCAGGTAAGTGCGCTGTGATTAATAAAACTTAGAAATGAATTCTAAGTTTAAGTGGAAGCAAGTGGTGGAAGGAAAGAAACAGTGTTGATATGTCATCGCTAGCTGCTTTTTTTGTTTGTTAACGAGGGGGATGGGCTGGGTAGAATTCCACATAAAGATATGTGAGGGAGACAGCGTGTAGTAAAAAGTCCAAGTTATTGATTAAATAACTTGATGATTTAATCTGTGATAAATCTCTGAGAAATGCCTCTGTACTTCTGATTTTGAGCGCTCTTTGGTAAACTCTACAGTACCCTGTAGTATTAGAAAACTGCACAGGCATTTTCAAAAATTTGACAGAATCTGAAACATCTTCAGTTTTAACAGGTTTGATTTACCGATGGTTAAATCATCATGTTTAATCAAATAATACACCCTGAGGTTATGAAAACCTCTTAATAGCTAGATGGTGGTTTTGCAATAACAGCCTGCAGCAGGACTGGCTATAACAGTTCATTAGATGACTACAGTTGGAGTCTGAGTGCTCATAACACTCAGCTACTTCGTTCCGATTGGTGACAGATAACCTTTCACAGCCCACTCTGTGTGTTTTTTGGCACGTTGAGGGAACAGGTACAGCCCAACCCTGGAAAGACCACTTTAGTCCCAATCCCGTGTTTTCTTTACTGCTGTCAGTCTGTTTTGTTTTCTGTTGGTGCGTTCTGGGTAGCTCAGGAAAACAGTGATGTGAGAGTACCACCTAGGGAATCATGTTGTTTTTAGAGCTTCTTCCGTGAATTGAAATGTGAGGTTAAAAAAGGCAGTTTTGTTCATTCTCTAGTACTTAACATCGGGCAGTGCCAGACATTAGCTGTGAGTATTTGTGTTTTTTAAAATAAAAGTGGTTTTAATTATGTTGAAAAAACAGCACTGGGCAAAAATACAGTAGTTAAATCAGATTTTTCAGAGATTACTTCAGAGGGATTGAATTTCAGCTTTTGGCAAGCAGGTTTTTCCAACAACATTATAGAAAGTCGTGTAAATTCTGTAAAAACTGGCATCCTATAGTGAGATGAGCCTTATCAGGAATGGGGGCTGCAGCAATCCCAGATGGGTTGCTCGTTTACACAAGTTTAACTTGTGAACAAATTAGCTGCTGGGGATGTTTTTGGAAAACAAACTTTTATAAATTGAGCCTTTGTCTTTTAACTATAGAAACCCGAAAGCTCGCTGACTCATACAAGTCTGAAAAACAAAGACTCTATGATTGATTAAATTACTTGTGATATGAACCAACAAATATCCTGAATCTTATATGTGATCACTAAGTGATAATAACCAGTGCTTGTTTAGTCTTTGATGACTTAAAAAAGTGTCAAACACAGAAGAAAGAAAGCAGACTGTGACACAAGACAATACACAGGAAGCTTTAGCCTACTTTTGTCACTTCCTGTCAAAACAAAGCATTTTAGGAAACCTGCAGCAAACACAAGCGTGGTCACACAGTCGCACAGGAAATGCACTAATTCTCTGAAGACAATAGAGGCTGAGCTGGGAGGGCTTATTATCACAGAACAGAGCAGGACAATACTCAAACTGCTTATACAGACAACACATCACAGATAGATAACTGCAAATTTATTATAGACATAACACTGAGTTTGTGTAAAGTTTTAGGCTCTGTTAATAGTTGGAGTACTTTTTAAAAAACTTAAAACTAAAATGGCATATATACTGTCCAAAAACCACAAAAATTCAATTAGTTATCATGTAGAACAAAGAAAAGCAGCAAATTGTCACATCACACATGATAAAATCAGTGTTTTCAGGGATTTTAGCTTCTGGACCACTATTTTCTGTTGATTAATTCTAATTATGTACCGTGCATGCTCATCTGTCCATTTCATCCCAGTTGTTGGCCAAGACACCATGAAGTATCCTGTAGGATGTAGAGATACTGGATTGGATATTAGAATGCAGGTTTGCAGCCTCAGGTTCAGGTCTGTAAACTGTGGTATCAATTAAAAATGCCAGGAACACAATTCTTGTAAAAAGAGCCTTGAGCTATGTAGAAGTGAATAGGAGGAGGTGCAGGTATGAGAGTCTGCCTGTGACTCAGCCTGACTAAACACCTGGACTCTGTGATGACTCACTAATTGAGTGCACTTAGCTGGCCACTAATAAACACACTTTCATGAGGTATCACCGCTAGGAAAGAGAGTACAGAAGTGAAAGGAAGCTTCTAATTTCTATTGATTGCACTGTGTTGTTGATTGCTTGCTTAGTCAACATCAGACTAGTGCTCAGATTTTTTTTTAATTTGTCTTTACAGGACAGCGTAACGACAGCCTGAACAGTGAAAGCAGGCGGCACAGAGCTAGTGGAGAAGAGTCACACAGTCCCAAAGCTGCAAATGGGACAACAATCAGAGTGGCCTCGGTACAAAGCTCATCATGTGACTATAATTTAACCTTCCCCAAACTGGTGTCAGAGGTCAATCAGGAGCTGCTCACATCAGCGGCTGTGATTCTGCCAGGTAAAGGACAGCTGATTCACCCATCAGCCTGTACTGAAATTATTTCCATCCATCCATTTTCTCATTAATTAATATCAATTTCCATATATGAGTTTTAATCTTGATCGTATTTGCTCATTTTTTATCACGTTTCTGATTTCCAACATTTCTGTGCATCTTAAAAATGTGCACTTTATTTACATTTTTTTCAATACTGAAATCATTCAAAAATAAAATAACACATAGCATTACTTGCCTAAGTGGAAAAATTTCTCCCCCCCAAAAAAGCGAAGGTAATGGAATGTTAAACTTTGCTATTGATGCTAAAAAAGCAACAGCAATAGAAACTGAAACATCTACTAAACTATCTATCTAAGGGAGGCCTAGACAAAACCATTAAAAATGTGTGTTTTTATTATGTGAGTGATATTTCTCCTTGTTTTTTATCGAACTGGCATTTCCAAAACTTTTTTGCTCTAAAAATCATTAGTTTGTCATATCACTATGAAGCTTGAGCAGTTATATTTTTGGTGTGGGAAGAAAGTAGAGCTAAGTTCTGACCCCCATCTCTGCTTTCTCTCTACCAGGGACCAGAGACCGTAGTGGGAGAGCAGTGGTGCAGGTGTGCACAAGAGCTCCATTGTGGGCAAGTGAGACCTGCACCGTCCACGATCTGACGTGCTTACTTAGCTACTACTACTCAACTCTGCGGTAAGTCATGCATGCAGTGTGCCGGTTTATTTTGTCTGGGTTAAAAATGACTTCTACACCTATCATTAACTTCTAAGGTGAACTCGGTCCCATCCAAGCTAGTGTTTTTAACACTTTTCCAGTTTTCTTTCCATTCCAGCTTTTATTTGGAGCTATAGAACAAAGAAGTCTTTCTATTAAGTATAGTTGAACATATTTTTTCATCCCTTATTAGATCTCTTATTAGACAACACAATGTGTTTGCTTTAAGGTCAACATCCATCCCCACAAAATGGCTTAGAAAGTCTGAAACTTAACTTTAAGTGTCACTTCATCATCACAAAAATCTGTGTTCGTGTACAAATTTGTCAGGTGTCAAAATATTGTATCACATGCCATCATGTTTTTGACAGATGCTACAATAACTGTAGTGCTTTGGTTTTAGGAAAGAAAGGCGTGATCAAGGTATAACTGTTGTAATAGACTGCAGAAGGCAGCAGCCTGTTCCAGCTCTGTTGTCATCGCTGTCTGAGTTTCAGGTGAGCCCACACTGGAAAACATGTAATTACCCTCCAACACACCCGGAGAGTTTTCAGGCCCTCTGCTGCCTCCTGCACTGTAATGTTACCGGTATGTGTCTCTCTGTCAGAGATAAAATACTGCCTCATTCCTTACACATTTCCTTTTGTTCTGCCTCTCTGTCTCTGGCATAGTGTGTTTTTTCTTTTTAAGAGGCACACCTTAAACTTGTAGTGTACGCACTTCCAAGACATTTTTCTGAAAAAGGCTGGCCTCAGGGCTTTCGCAGAGGAGCCTGTCCTTGCTTGTCTGCTTTTAACCACACGCTGGGAGCAGGCTGGCTGCAGCTGACTCGCAGGAGAGATATCATACTATGATAATACATTTCTTCCTGATGTAAAGGTGATAATGCTGTAAACCTTGACACAAACATCCGAAGTCACTTTGAACGCACAGTACTTAGCTGTTCATAGCATAAGAGCTATATGCTGTATTATAATTTATGTGCCTTAAGTTTATCTTAAATAAAACATGCTCATGTGTTTTTTTCTAGACTTTAATACCACATGCACTTTACTCAGTTCTGTTCCTGTCGGACAAGGAGGTAGCAAGCAAACCCGAGAGAGACATCAGTGTACAGGTAAAAATAGAATAAATGTGCAGTATTCATGTTGGTGAAGGCTAGGCCTAATTTTGTTTACACACTTGCAAGAATTCATTTCCATTTGTTACAGGGATGACTTTTGAAAGTTTCTTATCTGATCTTGTTACTGCAAGCCGTGATGACAGAGATTTTTTTAAGCTGTGCAGGAGACGTGCTGTGACTGAAAACTGGATGTTTGTTTATGTTTTTCTTTTTCTCCAGACAGAAACCGTGTCATCTTTGAAGGCCCTGCTGAAGTACATTGACCAAACCCAGCTCACACGAGACCTGGAGGGCACCTTCCACTACGATCACAACCACTGGATCCAGTTCAGACAGGTGAGTGTGACTAAGGCGACTGGAGTAGAGTGTAAACATGTATGTAATACCTTTTTTCCAGTTTCATGGTTAGATGCTTGATTTCATAATGAAAAAAGACACCCAGATTTACAGGGCAATGCACCTCTAAGCCAGATAAACATAGGAGAAGTTTGCTTTGAAATCTTACTAAGACGTGACTAATGTAACCAAGGATTTTGCTGTCTAAAACAAATTATAGCTGAGTACTGAAAATAATGTAAAGGGGGGAAAAAAGAAAAGCGTTCTGGCAGAAAGCCCCAAAGGCAAACTTCTCCCACCAGCAAGCCAGTTGAAACATGATCAGTTTCACATTTGGTAATATCGCTGTTTTGACACTGTAGGTGTTAACAGTCTCACTTCCCTTGCTTTCATTCTTCCTCTTGTCTTCTTTTACTTACAGAAAATCGAACCTTTTGCCGCCAGCTGTAGTGCGGCCATCACCTCCCTTCAGGAGTCTATTAGCTCACTGAGCGCCAGCAGCAACCTAAAGACCTCTAAGGTCAGAGCAAAGCCCTGCAAACAGTCTGGCCTGCTGATTTATGTGTCTCCACTCACACACAATAGATGTCTGCTGGGTTTTTTTTTTTTTGTAGTAAAATGTTTAACAGTTTGTTTCATTCTTAGTTTCCAGGATATTTGTAAAAAAAAAAAAAAAAAAAAAAAAGAAGGTTAATAACCTTGATCTACTATGTAAATATGACCATCCATTTACCCCTGTCCGTGTTTATGTCAGGAGGTGTCTGAGGTGTTAGAAAAGCAGAAGCATCTCATGAAGTGTGTACTAGATGACACCTGTCTAAACCGACTCCGTCTGGAAGGTGGAACTGTACTTGCCCGTATCAGGAAGGAAGAAGCCTGCGACAATGAAAACTACAGGTAGATCATGATAGGACGCAATAGTGCCCAATGGTCATAACGAGTAGTACCCATGAAGATTAAAAGAAACTTCTTGTAACCTGTCTGAATATTGTTTTTCATTTTTTTTCAGGGACACTGTCGACATGTTAAATGCACTCTACAATCAAGTAGATGAAGAAGTTCATAAGCTTGTGATCCTTTCAAACAAGTCACAGAAGCAGTTAGAGAGCTTGCTGGAGGCGCACAGGTTTGACGAGCAAACTCAGCAGGTGACTTTTACATTAAGTACCATATTCCCACCTGCTCTGCAGAGCTTTTCTTGTTTTTTTTTATCTCTTTAAAAAAAGCATCCTCAGTAATTGACAATTCCTTTCTCTTTTTCAGATCAAACTTTGGTTCAGTGTAGCGGGAGAGAAGCAGCTTGCGCCTTTGGAATCATTAACTCTGTCTGCAGCCAAAATAAAGGAGATGAGAGAGAGCATGAGCCAATTTCTGGAGGAATCAGTGGTAAAGATACCTCAACTTTTACGTAAACTGATTATGTTATATTTAACTTTTAGAAAGGATTCAGTGCTAAATTTATCTTTTTCGCTCACAGAACCAGCAGAGACGTGGCCTGCAGCTGGTCAAAGAATCTCCAGAGGCCCTTCCAGAGGTTCTTCTCGACTTTAAACAACATCTGGGGTCCATTTTGAGCAGAGTTGAGCAAAGGAAGGCCAAGCTAGATATCCTAGCCAACCTGTATGAGTTCTATGATTCGGTAAGTCAAATTCATGCAAAATGATACCACATTTTAATAGATGACCTTTCTTAAAAGATTGAACACTGAACGGTTTGTATTTAGCCATATTGTGTATATCTAACATATTTAAACCACCTTTTTACACCTGTAGGCAAACCAGTGGATGGATCACTGTCAGGATTACTTCCATCAACTGAGTATGGCGAGCCCAGGGGGAAGATTTTCGCCCTCTGTGGTGCAGGTCCTACAGGATTACTGCACTGAAGCATCCAAATTCTCCATGGAAAACTTCAGCACGCTTAATGACATGGTGCTTTCACTGGAGTCTCCTGAGCAGCTGCAGCAGTGGAACGCCGTGTGGCACAAATGTAAACAGACCAAGCAGCAGCTGGAAGAGACTTTGGCTCGAGCCACGGCAGCAGCTCAGGACTCAACAGCTGCCGATACGCCGGATTCTCTGAAGCCTGCAGAAGTTCAGATCATCACTCCAGAGCAGCGTGGAGCTAATGGATGTGTGCGTTTACCTGGAGCAATTAAGCCATTAAATTTTGAGGACAACAAAAATCTCTCTGTCAGGCCTTTTTCCAAGAGTCCCACAAGTTCAATCTCCTCTTCATCACACTTCACTTTCTCCCCCGACAGCGAGAGCAAACTGAGACAGAGCCCACCCATGTTTGATGACACAGACAGCGACTGCACTATCGACTCGATCGTCTCCTGCCGCTCCGAGCCCATCTACTCTGGAGCCTCCCGGGTGCGCAAGCAACCCATGAAAAAGATCATGAAGAAGACCATGAGCCATGAGCTATCCCCGAGAGACAGCACCCACTCAGATGTCAGTCACATTCACGGATATACAGGCGTCTACATTAAGGGTTTGGAGGTGACCAATAACGTGTCTGCAGAGAAGAAGCTGCAGAGACCTGATGTGATGAGCCCCACGCTAGGCCGCAGCCGCAGCATGTCTACGCCCTGCAGGATCCATACCAGGCGCAGCGATGGAGATGGAAAGAAACAGAGCAGGTGAGGAATTAATCAGTTATATCAAGAATACGCTGGGATAGAATCTGATGAGTACGTAGTTATAAACAACACGTTTAAGATATTTTTGTAAGAGATGAAAAAAAATACCACACAAACTAACATTTTCATGACAAACTACACCAGCCTCAGTCCTGTTAAGCCAGTCATGTGAAGTTTTTAAAAAGCCTTCAAATTCTCATATTAAGTAACTGCTTTAAACCTGCCTCATACTTTCTTGGAACCGACCTGTTAAAAAGTAATGTGTAGTTTCAGGTGATTACTAGGCTTTAATGACAGTCTTGTGGTATTACTTTAATGGTGTTACAGTCAGTTATTGTCAGATTAGTCATAGACTTGCGTATCTGTAACTATTACAGGTAAAAACAACCCAGACCAGCCAAAATATTCAACTTTTTATATTATGAAATGAAGGCGAACAAATCTAACCCTCAGATTTGGATTTTTTTTAAACTGTTTTGTTTTTGTTTGGGTTTTTTTTTTTGGGGGGGGGAGACGACTCTCTGTCAAACAATCAAAATTGTCCACATTATCGTCCCTGTTGTTCTCAGTCTTAACCCTGATGCGTCTGTTCAACAGTAAGGTGCAGCACATCATGGACGAAATGATTTCCACAGAGAGGGAGTACGTTCGCTCACTCAGCTACATCATTGAGCACTATTTCCCCGAAATGGAGCGCCTCGATTTGCCTCAGGACCTGCGGGGGAAACGGAGCATCATTTTTGGGAATGTGGAGAAATTGTGGGACTTCCACAGCCAGTATTTCTTAAAAGAGCTGGAGGCGTGCACCCAATCCCCGCTGTCCATCAGTAGCTGTTTTCTGCGGCATGTGAGTATCCTTACACTTAATTAGAAACAGCTTTCAGGTCTCGTGGCTTCATCGAGATGTGTTGCTGTACAGTTACTAGCTTAGTTTGTCATGTAGTGATTGTTTCATTATCCCACACTGGTCCGTTATTGCTTGTGTGCTCATGTACTCAGCAACAAAATGAAAGTACCTGGTGAATTTACAGTCTCTGAATCATTCAGCATGCTTTGGGAATCATACTGACATGTCAGCATACATTTTGCTGTAGTGTTGTAACTTGTTAATGTTGTGTGCAGGAGGATCAGTTTGGAATGTATGCTCTGTACAGCAAAAATAAGCCGCAGTCCGACGCTTTGCTCAGCAGCCACGGGAACGAATTCTTTAAGGTGCGTCTAGAATCTCTTACTTTGGTTACATTCCTCACACAGTGACTGGATACAGGCTGCAAAACAACCTTTCAACCTCTCTGATTATAGAAAGATCTATGAGAAAATGACCCTACTGCTTACTGAACTTCTTTTTAATCCGGCATCCAGTAAATTAAGCATAATTAGGTGTTAAAACAGGATATAATTTAGGGCATACGTAGTTTGTAATCATCAATCCCTCATGATGTCTGCTTTTGTAAGGATATCACAAACCCACGAATGAAGTGATGGCAGTTCTTTCTTTTTTTTTCAATCCAAGCAGTATTTAAAACTGTAATGATGATTTCTTCCTCCAGAATAAGCAGATGGAGCTTGGGGATAAGATGGACCTGGCATCCTACTTGCTGAAGCCCATTCAGAGGATGAGTAAATATGCACTGTTGCTCAAAGACCTGATAAAAGAGTGCAGCCAGTCCCAGGAGCAGGAGCTGAGTGACCTTCGCACTGCAGAAGAGATGGTCAAGTTTCAGCTCCGCCATGGGAATGATCTGTTGGCTATGGATGCCATTCGAGGATGTGATGTAAGTTATAGGCAGGCACAGATATGAAACAGAGATACTCAAACTTAGGTCATCAAAGCTATTTTTGCTGGAGTTCATTGTGTTAAATGGGATACAGTAGAATAAGGTCAGAGTCCCACCAGGAATCGCATTGTTCTCGCTGATGTGCGCAAGCAGCCATGTTTCCTCTCCAGGTGAACCTGAAAGAACAGGGTCAACTCCGCTGCCAGGATGAGTTCATGGTCTGGTGTGGTCGCAGGAAATACCTCCGCCAAGTCTTCTTGTTTGAAGACCTCATCCTCTTCAGTAAGACCAAGAAGATAGAGGGAGGATATGACATTTACATCTACAAACAGTCTTTCAAAGTAAGAATTTATTGTTTGAGGAGGATTTTTTTTTTGTCTGGACTGCTTTTAGAGTAGAGCTTTACTTTTATATTCTTATTGTTTTCTGTATAGACAGCAGAGATAGGCATGACTGAAAATGTCGGTGACAGCGGCCTACGCTTTGAGATCTGGTTCCGTCGGAGGAAGTCACAAGACACGTTTATACTCCAAGCCAGCTCTGCAGAGGTCAAGGCAGTGTGGACAACTATTATTGGGAAGATTCTGTGGAGGCAGGCGCTCAGAAACAGAGGTCTGTTTCTGTGGCAGACTGTGCACTTTGACACAAACTCTTAAATACATCATACAAAAAAACAAATAAGGTGACACACGAACATTTTGTCATTGGAGATGTTTTTGTGTTGGGATTGTAGAGCTGCGCATGCAGGAGATGGTGTCTATGGGAATTGGAAGCAAACCGTTCATGGACATCAAGCCAAGTGACGCAGCTATCAGTGACAGAGCCATTGAGTATACCATGAAGGGCGCAGGTGAGCTGACTTTGGGAACTAAATATTCTTTTTCTTTTTAATGGAATATCTGTGTTTGCTATTTGCGTCATAATCAGTACAATTAATGCATTAATCTTTCTAAAGGTGTGATAACAAAATAAAAGTACCACAACATTGATTTTCATTGTTGCTTATCTAACAGCTCACTTCACTTCTCTCTAACGCCAGAGTCGAGGACGAGAGCGTCCATCGCAGTGTCCTCATTTGAACACGTGGCCTCGTTCAAGAGGCCTCACTCCACAATCTCCAACAGCAGCACCTCCTCCTCCAGCAGCCAGTCGTCCTCCTCCCTGCTGGGCTCCCTCAATCTCCACCTATACTCCTCACCCTCTCACCCGCACACACTTTCGCACCCAACAGGCAGCGTTCCCTCCTTTACCCAGTGGCCCTATGACTGCATAGAGGAAGATGAGCTGGAGCAGGACACCGTGAGCCAGCCCTCCATGAGTGAGTGACCAGATGTGCATTCGCCGGTTTTGTTTTGGTTTTGTTTGTTCACAGTTTCTCAAGTGTGAGCCTTATCCAATCTAATCACAGAGCACAGAACAGAGCAAACTTTGGTAATTTGCACTTCAAACTAACCCATAATTATTACACAAAATTGCATTACATAAACAATAGAACAAATAAGTAGACAAGTAAATAAAACATGCAGTTAGGTGTCGTGTTTGCTGCTACCACAAGGAGTCACCAAAGTCACAAATTCCTACACATAAAATGTGTAAATAAATGTCTTTTTGAATGCTTTAATAACGTGCAAATGACAGAAAATTTTAAACTCAAGCTGTGAATGAAGTGAACAGTGTCCTCTCTTGCTGATGTTGTATTGCTTTATTTATATATCTAATCTTTTTCTATGCTTTCTGTGACAGTCATTGAGAGCTCTGAGACATCCTCTCAGTGTACATCCAGTGAAAGTGTGACAGGACTGAATACGCTCGCCATACCCGGGCACACCAACGCCACCATGGACTCTTACAACAACAATGAGTCCTCTTCTTTCCTCTGCTCCACCACACCTCCATCCTCCATAGCAGAGCCCTCGATTTTCCAGAAAGATGAAGACCTCCAGCCCCAAGGCACCAAGTTTATCACAGCAGTGAGTGTTTGATTTCCGCCAATATTATTGTTATATATGTAAAAGAAAACTGAGGCTGTATTGTTGCAGCCATCACATTTTTTCATACTTTACCTCTGCCTAGCTTCACTTCTTCCCTTCTCCTATGATAATTTTCATGTTACAGCTTTCTAAGAAGTTGTCATTTAACTTTGGCACATTGTTCCCTATTTGTGGTTCATATGTGCCTCTTTGATTCTGTGTAGCAGTCTGGAAAACAGAAAAGACCAAGACAAAACGCGCTCAGTTGCCACTCAGTTACAGTGGGGCAAAAAAGTATTTAGTCAGCCACCGATTGTGCAAGTT